CTCCTCATGTATCCACATGTCCTTCCATCTCCCTAAGTATCCACATGTCCTTCCATCTCCTCATGTATCCATATGTCCTCCCATCTTCTCATGTATCAATATGTCCTCCTATCTCCTCATGTATCCATATGTCCTCCCATCTCCTTATGTATCCACATGTCCTCCCATCTCCTTATGTATCCACATGTCCTCCCATCTCCTTATGTATCCACATGTCCACCCATCTCCATCTATCCAAATGTCCACATATCTCCTCATGTATCCATATGTTCTCCCATCTCCATCTATCCAAATGTCCTCCCATCTCCTCATGTATCCATATGTCCTCCCATCTCCATCCATCCATATGTCCTCCCATCTCCATCTATCCATATGTCCTCCCATCTCCATCTATCCATATGTCCTCCCATCTCCATCTATCCATATGTCCTCCCATCTCCATCTATCCATATGTTCTCCCATCTCCATATATCAAAATGTCCTCCCATCTACTCATGTATCCACATGTCCTCCTATCTCATCATGTCTCCACATGTCCTCCCATTTACTCATGTACTCCTCATTCTACTCTGAGCCGACCCAGACGTGTCGAAGAAGATAGAAATCTGCCTGCAGCTCATAGGACTACGAGAATCATTTGTCCAACCTGGAAATATTTCTTCAATATGAGCTTTCGAGATGGACTGTCCACTATGTGATCGACAGTTGAGGTCACCTGCCCTCCCGATGTAAACAATCCTGCCATCCAGATGTGAACAATCCTGCCCTTCGGATGTGAACAATACTGCCCTCCAGATGTGAACAATACTGCCCTCCGGATGTGAACAATACTGCCCTCCGGATGTGAACAATACTGCCCTCCGGATGTGAACAATACTGCCCTTCGGATGTAAACAATACTGTCTTCCGGATGTGAACAATCCTGTCCTCCAGATGTGAACAATACTGCCCTCCGGATGTGAACAATTTTGCTCTCCTGAAGTGAACAAACTTGCCCTCCGGATGTAAGCAATCCCGTCTCCGGATGTGAACAATCCTGCTCTCTGGATAGGAACAATCTTGCCCTCCGGATGTGGACAATCCTGCCCTCCAGATGTGAACAATCCTGCTCTCCTGATGCGAACAATCCTGCCCTCCGGATGTGAACAATCCTGCCCTCCAGATGTGAACAATCCTGCCCTCGGGATGTGGAAAATCCTGCCCTCCAGATGTGAACAATCCTGCCCTCCCGATGTGAACAATCCTGCCTTCCAGATTTGAAAAATCTTGCTCCCCGGATGTGAACAATCTTGCTGTCGGAATGTAGATAAGCCTGCCATCTTGATGTCACTAGCTCTTTCCCCGAAGACTATACACACTAGTCTGAGAACCGCTGACAGGGTGATTGTCTGAGAACCGCTGACAGGGTGATAGTCTGAGAACCGCTGACAGGGTGATTGAGAATCACTGACAGAGTGATTGTCTGAGAACCACTGACAGGGTGATTGTCTGAGAACCGCTGACAGGGTGATTGTCTGAGAACCGCTGACAGGGTGATTGTCTGAGAACCACTGACAGAGTGATTGTCTGAGAACCACTGACAGAGTGATTGTCTGAGAACCACTGACAGGGTAGTTGTCTGAGAACCGCTGCCAGGGTGGTTGTCTGAGGACCACTGACAGGGTGGTTGTCTGAGAACCACTGACAGAGTGATTGTCTGAGAACCACTGACAGAGTGATTGTCTGAGAACCGCTGACAGGGTAGTTGTCTGAGAACGGCTGACAGGGTAGTTGTCTGAGAACCGCTGACAGGGTGATTGTGTGAGAACCACTGACAGGGTGGTTGTCTGAGAACCGCTGACAAGGGTAGTTGAGAACCACTGACAGGGTGATTGTGTGAGAACCGCTGACAGGGTGGTTGTCTGAGAACCGCTGACAGTATGGTTGTCTGAGAACCGCTGACAGGGTAGTTGTCTGAGAACCGCTGACAGGGTGATTGTCTGAGAACCGCTGACAGAGTGATTGTCTGAGAACCACTGACAGAGTGATTGTGTGAGAACCACTGAGAACCGCTGACAGGGTAGTTGTCTGAGAACCGCTGACAGGGTGGTTGTCTGAGAACCGCTGACAGTATGGTTGTCTGAGAACCGCTGACAGGGTGATTGTCTGAGAACCACTGACAGGGTGATTGTCTGAGAACCACTGACAAGGTGATTGTCTGAGAACCGCTGACAGGGTGATTGTCTGAGAACCGCTGACAGGGTAGTTGTCTGAGAACCGCTGACAGGGTGTTGTGAGAAACCGTTGACAGGATGACACAGGGGTGAGAACCGCTTGTGTATGAGAACCACTGACAGGGTGATTGTGTGAGAACCACTGACAGGGTGGTTGTCTGAGAACCGCTGACAGGGTGATTGTCTGAGAACCGCTGACAGGGTAGTTGTCTGAGAACCGCTGACATGGTGATTGTGTGAGAACCGTTGATAGGATGATTGTATGAGAACCACTGACAGGATGGTTGTCTGAGAACCGCTGACAGAGTGATTGTTTGAGAACCACTGACAGGGTGATTGTGTGAGAACCACTGACAGGGTGGTTGTCTGAGAGCCGCTGACAAGGGTAGTTGAGAACCACTGACAGGGTGGTTGTCTGAGAACCACTGACAGGGTGATTGTGTGAGAACCACTGACAGGGTGGTTGTCTGAGAACCGCTGACAAGGGTAGTTGAGAACCACTGACAGGGTGATTGTCTGAGAACCGCTGACAGGGTGATTGTCTGAGAACCACTGACAGGGTGGTTGTCTGAGAACCACTGACAGGGTGATTGTGTGAGAACCACTGACAGGGTGGTTGTCTGAGAACCGCTGACAAGGGTAGTTGAGAACCACTGGCAGGATGATTGTCTGAGAACCGCTGACAGGGTGATTGTCTGAGAACCACTGACAGGGTGGTTGTCTGAGAACCACTGACAGTGTGGTTGTCTGAGAACCACTGACAGGGTGGTTGTCTGAGAACCATGACAGGGTGGTTTTCTGAAAATTGCTGACAGGGTGGTTGTCTGAGAACCACTGACAGGGTGATTGTCTGAGAACCGCTGACAGGGTGGTTGAGAACCACTGACAGGGTGGTTGTCTGAGAACCGCTGACAGGGTGGTTGTCTGACAGTCAAGCCCTACTGACAGAACTGAGTGTCTGTGTCGTCACGTGACCGGTCGAGTTATTTCACTATCCAAGTTTTTATTTCCTTTCAAAGTCAGTGAAAGCTGCACATAAAAAACATGGTCGGCACATAAACGGGATCTGGGGCCTAACGGCGAGATGTTGTGTGCTGACAAGCCAGGGGCCGTAATGTCAATCACTGATAGGCTCAGGTAGATAAGCTATGGAGAGACCTTTTGTTTGGATTAGAAAAAAACTGAGGGGGGGGGGGGGGGGGGGGGGGGGGGTTGAACCGGGCTTGGGAAAGAAATATAAGTATTATGCAAGAAGCGGTAGAGTTGGTGGTAATACAGGTAGTTGTTTGTTATTGTTGTTGTTGTAGCAATATCTTCTGTTCTTGTTACTGTTGTAGTTTGTAGTGGTAGTAGCAGCAGCAGTAGTTGTTGTAGCAGTAGTAATCGTGGTCGTAGTAATGGCGGTAAGCAACAGCAGGTGGAGAAGTGGGACGTAGAAAGATAAATAACAGACAGACAGGGACAGACAGACAGACAGACAGAAGACAAGAAAGGTTGAAAGACAGAAGGGAGCAATGAGGTAGAGAAACGTGAATAAATCATGATTATGTTGGGGGATAACAGAAAAACAATGCTGAGAACAACAGAGACTTCTAGTGGCAACAAAAAGCAGACACAGGAGTTGACAGCAACTGGGAACTTTCCAACGTTTGACGCGAGGTGGCAGACAGCCTTGTGTACTATCACCCGATCTATTCAATTTGTACAATGAAATAATAATGCGATCCATACAAGATAAGCCTGCAGTATCGGTTCGGTTGGTGGGAGCAATGTACACAGTCTGCGATACACTGACTAGTCTCATGGTTACACGTGTAATTCTGTCACAGTTAGTGCTGGATTCTATACACAGCACGAAAAAAGGAATGGTATTTTATAAAGGGACACACAATGAGCAAAGAGGCCTGTCATATATTCGGCCATTCCAAACACACTGGGCACACAGGCCTGTCATTTTTTCGGCTATTCCAAACACTCTGGGCACACAGGCCTGTCATATATTCGGCCATTCCAAACACTCTGGGCACACAGGCCTGTCATATATTCGGCCATTCCGTACAGTCTGGGCACACAGCCCTGTCATATATTCGGCCATTCCAAACACTCTGGGCACACAGCCCTGTCATATATTCGGCCATTCCAAACAGTCTGGGCACACAGCCCTGTCATATATTCGGCCATTCCAAACAGTCTGGGCACACAGGCCTGTCATATATTCAGCCATTCCAAACACTCTGGGCACACATCCACTCCCAACACCTGAGTCCATACATCCACTCCCAACAACACCTGAGACAATACATCCACTCCCAACACCTGAGACCATACATCCACTCCCAACACCTGAGACCATAGATCCACTCCCAACACCTGAGACCATACATCCACTCCCACACCTGAGACTATACATCCACTTCCACACCTGAGACCATACATCCACTCCCAACACCTGAGACCAAACATCCACTCCCAACACCTGATACCATACATCAACTCCCACATCAGAGACCATACATCAACTCCTACACCAGAGACCATACATCCACTCCCACACCTGAAACCATACATCCACTCCCACACCAGAGACCATACAGCCACTCCCAACACCTGAGACCATACATCCACTCACACACCTGAGACCATACATCCACTATCACACCTGCGACCATACATCCACTCCCACACCAGAGACCATACATCCACTCCATCACCTGAGACCATGCATCCACTCCCACACCTAAGACGATACATCCACTCCCACACCTGAGACAATACATCCACGCCCACACCAGAGCCCATACATCCACTCCATCACCTGAGACCATACATCCACTCCCAACACATGAGACCATACATCCACTCCCACACCTGATACCATACATCCACTCCCACACCAGAGACCATACACCCACTCCATCACTTGAGACCATGCATCCACTCCTACACCTGAGACCATACATCCACTCCCACACCTGAGACCATACATCCACTCCCACACCAGAGCCCATACATCCACTCCATCACCTGGGACAATACATCCACTCCCACACCTAAGACCATACATCCACTCCCACACCTGAGACCATACATCCTCTCCCAACACCTTAGACCATACATCCACTCCCAACACCTGAGACCATACATCCACTCCCACACCTGAGACCATACATCCACTACCACGCCTGAGACCATTCATCCACTCCAAACACCTTTGACCATACATCCACTCCCAAAAACTGAGACCATACATCCACTCCCAACACCTGAGACAATACATCCACTCACACCTGAGACCACACATCCACTCCCGACACCTGAGACCATACATCCACTCCCACACCTGAGACCATACACACACTCCCAACAACTGAGACCCTACATCCACTCCCACACCTGAGACAATACATCCACTCCCACACCTGAGACCACACATCCACTTCCGACACCTGAGACCATACATCCACTCCTACACCTGAGACCATACATCCACCCCCACATCTGAGACTATACATCCACTCCCAACATCCGAGACCATACATCCACTCCCACACCTGAGACCATACATCCACTCCCAACACCCGAGACCATACATCCACTTCCAACACCTGAGACCATACATCCACTCCCACACCTGAGACCATACATCCACTCCCACACCTGAGACCACACATCCACTCCCACACCTGAGACCAAACATCCACTCCTGATACCTGAGACCATACATCCACTCCCAACACCTGAGACCACACATCCACTCCCACACCTGAGACCAAACATCCACTCCCGACACCTGAGACCATACATCCACTCCCACACCAGAGCCCATACATCCACTCCCAACACCTTAGACCATACATCCACTCCCAACACCTGAGACCATAAATCCACTCCCACACCTGAGACCATACATCCACTCCCACGACTGAGACCATACATCCACTCCAAACACCTTAGACCATACATCCACTCCCAACAACTGAGACCATACATCCACTCCCAACACCTGAGACAATACATCCACAGCCTGAGACACACCTCCACTCCCACTCCCGACACCTGAGACCATACATCCACTCCCACACCTGAGACCATACATCCTTTCCCATCAACTGAGACCATACATCCACTCCCACACCTGAGACAATACATCCACTCCCACACCTGAGACCACACATCCACTTCCGACACCTGAGACCATACATCCACTCCCACACCTGAGACCATACATCCACTCCCACACCTGAGACCATACATTCACTCCCACACCTGAGACCATACATCCACTCCCACACCTGAGACCATACATCCACTCCCAACATCCGAGACCATACATCCACTCCCACACCTGAGACCATACATCCACTCCCAACACCCGAGACCATACATCCACTTCCAACACCCGAGACCATACATCCACTCCCACACCTGAGACCATACATCCACTCCCACACCTGAGACCACACATCCACTCCCACACCTGAGACCAAACATCCACTCCTGACACCTGTGACAATACATCCACTCCCAAAAGAATACATCCACTTTCGACACCCGAGACAATACATCCACTTCTCACTGCCAGCAAAACCAAGCTAGAAAGACAAGTTTGTTGCGTATCCTTTACAGGACGTTGCAGAACCAACTTCAGCATTTTTTTTTTGCTGTTGTAGTTTTCTAGGAAAATGTTAAGTTCAGTAGTTTGCCATTGCTGACTGAACGGTCATCTCCAGTAGGGATCAAATCTGGCACCCCGGCATTACAAAGCGCGTTCGCAACGCTTAAGTCACAGACGCAGACAAAAAGACTGGACTGAGTCCAAAATGAGGCCATGAGTCTCATCAGAAATATTTGAAGTGTGTGTGTGTAATCCAAGTGTGTGTGTGTATTCCAAGTGTGTGTGTGTGTGTAATCCAAGTGTGTGTGTGTGTGTGCGTATTGCAAGTTTGTGTGTGTGTGTGTATGTGTATATATATAAATTTAAAAGCTGTCATCAAAAAGACAATGGTTTCTTGTTGCTGCGCACAAAAGCCGCCTCTTGGGTTTGTTGGGAAATGGATCAAGTAATTGCTCAGCGAATACAACCTCTACAGACATTCACCGCGTTTGCTGTGTCGGAGGTGCTGTCATCAGTGCTTAGTTCATTGTAGTCAATATTGCCCAAGAGTTTCTCTGGGAGTGAGTGTTCACTGTGTATAGCACTGCCCATGTGTCAACTCTCGTGGCGAATGCTCCTCGTGATTAAGTTGTATATGCTTATGTTGTATACGCTGATGTTGTATATGCTTATGTTGTATACGCTGATGTTGTATATGCTGATGTTGTATACGCTGATGTTGTATATGCTGATGTTGTATATGATGTTGTTGCATATGATGATGTTGTATATGCTGATGTTGTATATGCTGATGTTGCATATGATGTTGTTGCATATGCTGATGTTGTATATGATGATGTTGTATATACTGATGTTGTATATGCTGATGTTGTATATGCTAATGTTGTATATGCTGATGTTGCATATACTGATGTTGTATATGATGATGTTGTATATGATGATGTTGTATTAGCTGATGTTGTATATGATGATGTTGTATATGCTGATGTTGTATACGCTGATGTTGTATACGCTGATGTTGTATACGCTAATGTTGTATAGGCTGATGTTGTATATCCCGATGTTTTATAGGCTGATGTTGTATATCCTGATGTTGTATATGCTGATGTTTTCTACTCTAGTGGTCTCTCATAAGTCTACCAATAGTCTCAGCTCTCCAACAAGTTCTCCGGTCTACCCAAAGGGTATCAGTTGTCTAGATGACCTCTCACGGTACATGTCTCAAAACATGCACCACCATTTGTTGGCGGAGGCGACATCCTAGGCACATCAGCCCCTAGCAGCATGGCTCAGTCATGACACTCACTCAAATATGCACACAGACACATACACACACGCACTCACATATGCACACACACACTCACACAGGCACACACGCACATAGATACACACGCACACAGACACACACGCACATAGACACACACATACGTACACCGACACATACTGTTATATGCACACAGACACATATGCACACAGACACATATGCACACAGACACATATGCACACAGACACATATGCACACACGCTCACATATGCACACAGACACATATGCACACAGACACATATGCACACAGACACATATGCACACATATGCACACAGACACATATGCACACACGCTCACGTACACAGACGGACATACAACCACACACACAAACACACACCAGCTGACGGAACCTAACTAAAGGGACATTACCGGCTGACGGCGATCACAACTTGCATAAAACAGCAGCTTCTCGTTCAACACCACCAGGTTTGCGTGTATATATATGTGTGTGTGTATTGTGTATGTGTGTGTACACGGGCGCGCGTGTGTAAGTGAGTGTATGTGGGCCAAGTCAGAGATGAGATCAATACATGTGTTGAGTTAACACACGACCGGATAAAACCGCTCCTATAGCTGCACCTAGTCAGTGGAGTAGTGGCGATCCGCTACTGTATATGGCCACACTTGTCTGTGTCTAGAAACTGTTGACAGTGTTGGGACAAAGATGACGATGTCTAGAAATAGTTGACTGTGTCTAGAAATAGTTGACGGTGTCTAGAAACAGTTGACTGTGTCTATAAATAGTTGACTGTGTCTAGAATTAGTTGACGGTGTCTAGAAACAGTTGACGTTGTCTAGAAATAGTTGACTGCGTCTAGAAACAGTGGACGGTGTCTAGAAATAATCAATGGTGTCTAGAAATAGTGGACGGTGTCTAGAAATAGTTGACTGTGTCTAGAAATAGTTGACTGTGTCTAGAAATAGTTGACTGTGTCTAGAAATAGTTGACGGTGTCTAGAAATAGTTGACTGTGTCTAGAAATAGTTGACTGTGTCTAGAAATAGTTGACTGTGTCTAGAAATAGTTGACTGTATCTAGAAATAGTTGACTGTGTCTAGAAATAGTTGACTGTGTCTAGAAATAGTTGACTGTGTCTAGAAATAGTTGACGGTGTCTAGAAACAGTGGACGGTGTCTAGAAATAGTTGACGGTGTCTAGAAATAGTTGACTGTGTCTAGAAATAGTTGACGGTGTCTAGAAATAGTTGACTGTGTCTAGAAATAGTTGACGGTGTCTAGAAATAGTTGACTGTGTCTAGAAATAGTTGACGGTGTCTAGAAACAGTGGACGGTGTCTAGAAATAGTTGACGGTGTCTAGAAACAGTGGACGGTGTCTAGAAACAGTTGACGGTGTCTAGAAACAGTTGACGGTGTCTAGAAATAGTTGACTGTCTAGAAACAGTTGACGGTGTCTAAAGAAGCAATTCTAAATGATACTAACTATCTGCACGTGTAGTGGTAATGTCGTGTAGACAACCAAAGAAAATGATTCGTAATTCTTTAATTTGTGTACAGTAAGTAGATGATAACCCTGACCCCCTCTTCCCCAAACACACAAAAGCACGGAGCAAACCTGCAGCAACCACCTAGCCGTGTGCCAGCCACACCTTCAACACCTCTGATGTGTTTGTTCACAAACTGTGCTTACATTCACCACCAAACAGACAATAGCCAATGTCCCCCTGGTCTCCAGGACCTGACACAAGAAAGAAGCCAACAGAAACGAAAGCAGAGCTCCACAGCACAAACAGAATAGCCGCGACATCAATGAGATGTGAATATAAGACTTCATGTTCGATTAAACAAATGTTTCTACCATCTCTACACAAGCAAGTAGCGAAACTCGTCACGCTTCAGTTAGTCCCATTTAGTCGGCAGACTATTAAGACATTAACAGGCATGACCCTGCAAATCTGTGTATGTGTACACGGCTTTGATTCAGTCATACATACACATATACTTGTTTTTGAACATAAGTAACTACACACAGTTTTCAGGTGTACACAGCTTTGATTCGGTCATACATTCGTGTGTGTCTGTACATAAATACACGCCATTGTCGAATGTGTACACTGTACACCTAAATGAATAATATATGTACGCAACGCTGCAGACACCCTTGGAATATGGTCGGATTATATATGTGTGTCTGTTTGTGTGTGCATGTCTGTGTGTGTGTTTGTGTGTGCATGTTTGAGTGTGTGTTTCTGTGTGCATATGTGTGTGTGTGCGTGTATGTGTGTGTGTGTGTGTGTGTGTGTGTCTGTGTGTAGCCGGAAGGAAACCAAGGCGGTGGTGGAGCAGCAAACCCTTGACCCTCAGCAGTGAGCAGTAGCAGGTCAAGTGCCAGTGACTCATCTCTAGAGCTATTTCCGCCAACACCACAACGCTGTCACAGTTTTTTCTTGCCGTTCACTGGCTGTCAACTCCGGGGGAAAGTTCTGGTGGTTAGTCCACTTTTGGATTTTAGTCTTGTCCCCAGAACTTGACTTTTACGTTCACATCCTTTTTACAATTCTAGCTTTTTTATGCAAACTGTTGGTTTTGTGCCTCTCAGGCAGTTACACTCCGAATTTGAAAGAAACAACCCCTAATAAGTCGACTGCTACGACATGCCTGTTGGTGCATTTTTGTTTTTTCCATAATAGGCTTCGGAACCCACACGAGGACTGTCACAAAAGCAGGGAGACACATGAAGTCAGGGGAGACACATGAAGTTAGGGGAGGCACATGAAGTCAGGGAGACACATGAAGACAGGGGAGACACATGAAGTCAGGGGAGGTACATGAAGTCAGGGGAGGCACATGAAGTCAGGGGAGGCACATGAAGTCGGGGAGACACGTGAAGTCAGGGAGACACATGAAGTCAGGGAGACACATGAAGTCAGGGGAGACACATGAAGTCGGGGAGACACATGAAGTCAGGGGAGACACATGAAGTCAGGGGAGACACATGAAGTCAGGGGAGACACATGAAGTCAGGGGAGACACATGAAGTC